CCCCCCCCCCCCCCCCCCCCCCCCCCCCCCCCCCCCTGTGTACGCGCCTGGACATGAGAATAAATTGTCATTGTCATTGCTGAGGCTGTATTGTGAAGAATAAGACAAAACGCGCAGCCGGGTATTCCCCTAATCGTGCGCTCTGTTTCTTATACACGTACACGTACACCAGTGCACCGTATACCCAACCCGCCATTTTTCTGCCAGTAATGCATACGCACGTACGGCAGCACAGCTGCCACGCCACCTCGCTTCGATTCAGTGATTGATCTAAGGCCTCTACTACAGTTTAAGATCTTCAGTTGCAGTATATTTTAATTTAAGTCTGTCGACGAAATGCTGCCTTTGTAAACATTATTAGACTGAATGAAAGTTGAAACAAGGTTAGTCTGCTGTAACCAAGTTGTATTCATGGCATTTGGAACTTGTATTTGTATTGTAAGTTAACGTGCAGCAGTTGTAACTTGTATGATCATAGACGTCTATGGTATGATGCACCCCGGCCCGGCAAAGCATAGTCAAGAGAGTCATAAACAGAAATAACCGTCTGGTATGGGTCCTTCTTTAATAAAAGTGACATGTGTTGACATTCCCCAGACGGTATAACCCAGACGGTTCGCAAAGAGGGAATAGATTGAGCCAAATCGGTACCTCTTTTGGCTCCGAAATTTTCTCCCCCCGATTTTCTTTATTTAGTGGAGTCTAGATCTAGATTCTAGACTAGACCCTAGATCTGATTTTATAAAGCAGATAGAAAAAAAAAAGTATATTCGGCGCTAGTGTAGTTCCGCAATCCATTTTTTAAGCAGCTTAATATTGTGGCGTAACCGGGCTCTGCCGGGGTAGCGTTCTGCCTTGCAGTCTCTCAAAACCCGGTCCACGCTCTCGACAATCATTCATCAATTATATCTCTCAGAGGGCTCTCACAAAAGTATATCGTGTAAGAAATAACGTGGACTAGCTCTCATTCTTCTCCCGCAATCACTGAATGTCTGACAGGACTAAAGAAACAACACTTGCACAGTATCTGCAGTTCAAGTAACTTTACTCGTTCCTGGTAACGGACCTGTCGCTACGACAGGTCAACGCTGACTCACAGCTAAACGCTGACTGACTGACATCTCACGATGTACATGTATATATTTCACAATTATCTATAACGCCCTCTATGTCTTACTAAATTACTGGGCTAGTTATGCTACAATATCCATTCTTAGCAAAGAGTTATAGACTCTAGTCTAGCCCAATTTTTACTAATTTTAATAATAATCATATTTCTATCGCATTTTCCACCTGAATTTGGATCACATTCGACATCGGGAAGCCTCCGTTTAGGGCTTCGATGTCGACGTCGTCGCTCAGTACCGTCTCTACGCTGCAGTCCTGCACCTCAAACTGAAGCTATCAGTCCAAATTTATGCAGACTTCTCGCATGGTTTATGGTATCCTGCATGCGCGTAATACCATAAACCATACGAGAAGTCTGCATAATTTTGGACTGATAGTTTCAGTTTGAGGTGCAGGACTAGGCCTACATGCAGCGTAGAGACGGTACTGAGCGATTACGTCGACATCGAAGCCCTAAACGGAGGCTTCCCGATGTTGGATGTGATCCAAATTCAGGTGGAAAATGCAATATATGATTATGATTAAAATTAGTAAACAATTGGGCTAAAATTCTCTTAAGCCTCGGTCACAAATGCCATTACGAACTGCTACGAACGATTTTCAGACAATGGAAATTCGGGAAGACAATGGAAAAACAGGGAGATTCGTACAAAATTATCGTACAAATCTTTGTGACCGTAGCTTTATTTTGAATGGATATATTAAACTGCTAAAATAATGGATACGCAACTACACTAGCACCGTATATTCTTCTATGATCATTTATGCAAGTTTTTATTACTTCAAAATGCGAAATTAACGGACTTATAGATCTATGACTAAGTATGAGTTATCCAATTTTTATCTCAGAACCGCGAAACGGTACGTTCATGCATTCGAACTGTTAATCTATGATATGACCCGGCCGATATATTTCCGGGTCAACCTCCCAAAACATAGCCAATGTCCAATCAGAGCACTCGTCGAATATTGGGTTCATGAATATTCATATATATCACTGGGTCAAGCCGAGCTGACTCGTACATATAGCTATTGGACGTTCGAAAAGAAAAAAATGAATATTCATCAACTAAAACCAAGATGGGTGACGATGAATCATTTTGACTACGAGACTTTCACGGATTAATTATAAATTTAGGATCTAATGAGCAATCTATCGTAAGTCAAAGTAGATATTTCTGTGTAATTTGTTTTTATCTTAAATAAAAATTAGTGTAATATTGCAGCCTAAGTGGATATATGAAGACGTAAAGAGCGAACCGAACCATTCATCCTGTACAGTCCCCATAGGACGATTTTCAGTCTATGTATAGAGGCGGTCAGAGGAGCCAGATGCAATCTGCAAGCTTTCGGTCTAAGAGAGTCAATGCTAATCAGGGCTGTAAACTTTGGTGAACTGCTTCGAGGGAGACCGTACTGAGAAAGTGCATGTTATAAATCTTTGTTTTTAGGAAAAATACTCCGAAAAAGATAAGAAAATTTACATAAAACAGGTAACAAACATATCAACTGTAGAGATATCTACATATGATCCTTGAGACAATGTGGTAATTTCATGGTTCTTTGTTTATTAACACTCAACTGAACTCCCATCAATTCCATATACCGGAATGTACAAAGTAGCAATAATAGTAGTAGTTTAGTAGGTAAAACAAAGTTTTCCTTCCTTGAATCCGTGCCCACATCATATCATATCTGTAGTTTCCATGTGAAAAGCCTAGCTACGTTTGTACAACAATTCCAGTCAATCTACGGTATCCTCAAAACAAAAACTAAATTTGGCTTCTTATATCTTGATCCTTACATTCCTCCCCCCAGTTGCAGCTAGAGGATGCAACGATTAACATCTATTTAACCAAAACTTAATTGTTCACCACTGATGTAAATTAACAAAATACCAACTGTTATCTACATGTATTATCAAATGTTTACAACCATTTTCTACATATTGTCTCATAACCTAGGTAAAATTAAATTCAAACACTTTCTATTTATATAATACCTAGCTGTTTCCAAAACAAATCATAATCACAATGAGATGTAACACTTATATCTCCTTACTCTGCCAATTTCTACTATCTAAATGCACAGAATACACTAAATTCTGCAAAATCGAGCTTTATCCCTGGATTACTATAAACATTCCTGTATCAACTCAACAAAAGCATCCAATACAAAATAATCATGAATCAATGATAACTTTAAATCAAAATATTTTCAATGTTTACTCATAGCTGTCAAACTTTTGTCAAACTTTTGTCAAAATGTAATACCTATGGTAATTAAATTATCAAAAACACCATTTTCGTTATAATTGCCTTTCAAAAAATAACTCTGGAAATAAACCAGTAATATGATATCCAAACACAAGAATTGTTCTTCCAAAACAAGAATAATTAGTGGCTGTATTTACTACCTTTAACATTTTTCCTTTTGTTTTTACTTAAACATAAAACAATTTCTGAACACCTTCAATTGAACTGAACTGATGTACATGTACATCAACATAAAAGGAACATTGAAATAACGTAGATGCACATGTACTTTCAAACAATAGAGAAAAGGAAATATTTAGCATTGTGCATAATACCATCTTCATACATGTAATACTTGTACTTTCGCTTGAACATTAACCTTGTTCTTTCTATTTGCATATATCAATCTGTCCGAAGTTTACCTGCATGACTGAAGTCACATTGTGGATTGACTACTAAGCACATGCAAATATCCTTGCCATTTGCACATAAAACTAAATAACATTCCTTACTTCACTTAAACATGTTAATCCTCAATTTAAATATAACACAATCTGAACTTCCTTATAATGCTCTACACTGCAGAGTGCAGATACATATATTTAAATCTTTTCATTCATGTTAATGTTCTGAACATCTAATAAAATGAAATTTCTAACTTTCTATGTCAACAAATACACTGTTTTCAAAACACTTTCCCCCTTTAACCCTATTTGAGTTCTCTCTTTCTGGTATGTTTTATATTAACAAAATGTATCTGATTTTAACTCTGAGGCTAATTCAATCATTACCTTGAACAAATTTTTAACAAAATATTCTCTTTTAATTATTTGTGTACATGTATGTTCAATCATCCTCAATTTAAACATCCCAATTGTGATAACACAAAGAAATATTGAAACTCAACAAACTTACATATATACATGTACATGTATGAGTATAAAACATCAAATTTCAAAACAAACATTTCAGTCATGAATAGCATTTCACAGAGTTCAACTTAAACAGTTTGAAAGTTCACTAGTTCGTTCCAGTTCATGTTCATATCCTTTATCGTTCTTACAAAGACTAAACAATATTCGGTGCTGACTTATCATAATTCAATGTCTTAAATTGACATCCTTTCATGGAAGTGTCCTCTCTTGCAATTCGCGTGTTGACAAAATCATCCTGTGTAAATTCGCGACTTGACATGTGTTGATCCAATGCAAATTCGCGATTAAAGATGTGTTGATCCAATGCAAATTCGCGATTAAACATGTGTTGATCCAATGCAAATTCGCGATTAAACATGTGTTGATCCAATGCAAATTCGTGATTAAAGATGTGTTGATCAGATCCAAATTTGCTATTAAACATGATTTGATCCTGTATTGGCTCATTATCACAAATGATTACCAATTACTAGCCAAAGGGCTATTAATATTTTACTTCTCACTTTAACACAAACACAAAATTTCACTGGCGCTCTGAATTCCACTTGTTTGCTTGATCCAAACACAAATTGCTTCATTTGCTTGATATCCTCCTCCAATAATGATTCAAAGCACATCCACTTAAAGGCACTTTCACATATTATACATGTAGATCCTTTCATAAATTTGAGACAAACTCCATTCAAATTTCCTGCTCCAGTAGAATACACAACTTGGTTACTGGTCTTACTAGCGATGTTGTTGCAGTTTTCACTTTCGCTCTGCGGACGAACCCCTTGTTGTCGGGCATAACCTCTTGCACTCGGGCCATGGACCAGGAACATCTGTGCGCTGTTTCGTCTATGACGAGTACAATGTCCCCCACCTGAAGGTTACGACTTAGCTGCAGCCACTTTTGTCGGCGTTGTAGAGAAGGCAGGTACTCTCGCACCCACCTTTTCCAGAATAGGTCTGCCAAGTACTGCATCTGTTTCCACCGCTTCTTTGCATAGATGTCCTTGTCGTCGAAAATCCCTGGAGGTAGCGTCGTTGAACCCTTCATAGTCAGCAAGCTGTTTGGTGAGATTACATCCAGATCATTTGGGTTGTCTGAACATCGGGTAAGAGGCCTACTATTTATGACGGCCTCCACTTCACACATGAATGTATGGAGCTGCTCCTCATTCTGGTAGGACTTTAGATACTGCTCTCTCATGACTGCACACAGTATTTTTCTGACTGTTCTAATTTGGCGTTCCCATACTCCCCCCTGATGGGAAGCAGCAGGAGGATTGAAATGCCATTTCATGCCATGGTTTGCATGAAAGTTGATCAGCTGGTCTTGATTCAGCTCCTTTAATGCCTGCTTCAGTTCCCTTTCAGCTCCTACTAAATTTGTACCATTATCCGAGAACATCTCTTTCATAGGTCCTCGGCGGCTGATGAAGCGACGAATAGCTTCAATACAGGAGCTTGTGTCTAGACTCGATGCATCTTCAATGTGCACCCCTCTGCAGGACAGGCATGTGAAGATTACGCCATATCTTTTCCTTATGCTTCTTCCACACTTTATTTCAAAAGGACCAAAATAGTCCATGCCAACTCTGGTGAACGCTGGCTCGTCACTCTGAACTCGACTTCTTGGAAGTTCTGCCATTTTCTGATGACCAGCCTTTCCTTGGGTCTTTCTACAAATGATGCATTTCCTTGCTATGTTTCGTGCTAAAACTCCAGCTCCTACCACCCAGAATTTCTGTCGTAATTCAGCTACCATGTGATTTTGTCCCTGATGACCAACTCTCCTATGGATGTATTGCATTAAAAGAGTGGTTACATGATGCTTCTTTGGTAGGATGTATTGATGTTTAGCACTGCTTGGAATCTGGGCATTCTGCAACCTTCCACCTACTTGAAGTAACCCATTGCTCAATTCTGGATCAAGGTTACTAAGGGTAGAGCGTTTTGGTACTCCTTTGTCTTCTCCGTGACCAGCCAGTCGTTTCATTTCCTCTGGGAATGATTCAAGTTGCAATTGTTTAACAATTGTGACTTCGGCATCTTCAATGTCCTTATTTGTCAGGCTGAACATTTCACTGGAATTGCCATCTATTCCTTTCCCCTTTCCTTGTAGCATTTTCTTGAACTTCAATATCCAGGCAACTCCTCGTTTCAGCTTATCCCAATCAGAATAGTGCGACAGGAGTGCACTTATTGGATCCTCCTTGTTTATCATTGTGGCATGAATGTGAGTCTCATCCAAATCTCCTGACATAGTATCATCAGCTTTCTCCATTCTTGCTGGAGCTTTCACACCCTCAGATGGCCATATTTCTTCAGACCGCTTTAGGAATTCTGGGCCTTCAAACCATTCCTTCTTCTTGGTTAGTTCACTGGCATCCAATCCCCTGGATGCATGATCTGCCGGGTTTAACTTGGTAGGAATGTACTTCCACTGATTTGTCTCTGATCCATCTCGGATGATACTCAGTCTGTTTGTCACAAATACTGGATATCTGGCAGTTTCGTTGGTAATGTATTTCAGAACTGTTTGACTGTCCGTCCAAAATACTGTCTCATCCAACTCCATATTCATTTCCCTCTTGATCATACTGTCTTGCTTTACTGCGAGTGTTGCAGCTGTTAACTCCATCTTAACAATAGTGTGAGGCTTCAGTGGGGCAACCCTGGCTTTGGCTGTCAAAAATGCCACATGAACCTCTTCATTCTCATCTGTCTGTCTCAAGTAGGTCACAACACCATAGCCATCCATGCTAGCATCGGCAAAGTGGTGCAGCTGTCTGTTTGTTACTATACCAAAGTTCTTTGGTTTTAGACATCTTTCAGTCTTCACCTGGTCAAGATTTTGTAGCTCATTCATCCAATGTTCCCACTCCATTTTCTGCTTTTCAGGGATAGACTGGTCCCAGTCCAATTTAGCTTGGCACAATTCTTGCAGAATTATCTTAGCCTTCAGAACGAATGGTGCTGCTAGCCCGAAGGGATCATAGACTGAGCTCATTACTGATAGGATGTTTCGGCGAGTAGCCTTTCTTGACATTTCTTTCAGTTTGAAGCCTAACTGGTCATTTTCTGGATCCCATCTTACACCAAGAGCTCGTTCAGTTGGAAGAACTTCCCTTTGTAAGTCCAAATCCTTCAATTCAACGGCATGTTATTCCTTTGGAATAGAATCCAAGACCTCTCGTCTGTTGCTTGACCATTTGGTTAACTTGAAGCCTCCCTTGGACAACACTTGTCTTAATGATTCAGCTAGATCAATGCCTTCTTGGGGTGTTGATACTGACTTCAAAAAATCATCAACGTAAAAGTCTTTCTGTATGGCATCTAGGACTTCTTCCTTTGCACAACCTTCATTGTCCTTTGCTGTTCTTTTCAGGGCATAATTCGAACAACTGGGAGAAGATGTAGCCCCAAAAAGATGGACTAGCATTCTGTAGGCTACTGGCTCTTTGGTGATATCCCCCTCAGGCCACCACAAGTAACGCAGCATGTCGCATTGGTCTGGTGTAACTTTCACCTGATAGAACATAGACTGTATATCTGCCATTATAGCCACTTTCTCTTTCCTCCACCTGAGGAGAACACTAAGCAATCTGTTGGTTAGATCTGGTCCTTGTAGGAGTTCCTGATTAAGAGACTTTCCTCTGTAGCTGATAGGACAATTGAAGACTACTCTAATCTTTCCTGGCTTTTGGGGATGATACACCCCATGGTGAGGGATATACCATACCTTCCCATCATGTCTGTCCAAGTCTGCTTCTGGAACCTTCTCTGCGTAGCCTTGCTTTTCCAGATCATTCATGAATGTGGTGTACTGTTCATGGATTTCCTTGTTCTTTGATAACTTCTGTCCTTGTCTTTCCAGAAATCTTTCAGCTTGGTCCTTGTTGTTAGGCATAGCCACATCTCTCTGCTTTAAGGGCAGATCTATCTGATAATGATTGTCTTTCTTAGTGATAGATTTCTCCATTATGTCCAAGAAATTCTTGTCGTCAACTGACAGGCCCTCTCTGTGATCACTTAGTCTCTCTGTAAATTCCATATTGCAGAAGTCCTTGAATTTCCGTTCTAATTCCTCTTGTCTAGGAATGATGGAAACTTCCTCCTGTTTACAAAAACAGACTTTGTGAATATCTGCTTGCTCTTGAGCTTGTATACCATACACGAGCCAACCTAGCCTTGAGCGGATAGCATATGGTTCCTCGATGTCACCAGCTTTGATTTCTAGAGGCATCGATGCTGACGGAACGTTGGCTCCAATCATGAGAGTTACCTTTGAAATAGAGTTGCGGTTACTTATTTCGGGCAATTCTATGTCCTTCAGATGTTTCCATCGTTTCAGATCCTTTTGAGTTGGAGCATCTGAAACTGTCACTGGTATACCATCTTTGACATAGATGGGCGGAAGATTGATGAATTCCTTCTCCTTTACTCCTGCGATCTGCAGCTCATCTACAGTGACTTCTGTATCTATCACTTCTTCAAGATTCAATGTCTTGACTATTAGCTTGGTTTTCCTGGTTCTTGCATGCAGCCTTTGGGTAAGTTCTGTGTCACAGAAGACTGTTCCACATCCATTATCTATGAATGCATAAGTTGATATGCATCTGTCATTTCCTTTGTGCTTCACGATGACTGGAACTATCGTCATGCACGTCGATGTCTGGGGTTTTCCTCCAACACTTTTCTTCACATTGGTAGACCCTGAAGAGATCCTTCCAGCTTCACTTTGCACATCGGTAGATGTTGAAGCATCATTGGTGGTTTTCCTTGTATTTCCTTCTCCGTCTTTCATCCACCTGGGATCATGCATTAAAGTGTTGTGCATCCTGTCGCAGACATCACACTTGATCTTACTCTTGCATTCCTTTTTCAGATGTTTTGGTTTCAGGCATCGGAAGCAGAGGCCTTTCCTTTTACATTGCTCTGATCTTTCTTCAACTGTCAAGGCTTCAAATTTTCGGCACTCGTCAATAACATGCCTTGAGTTGGTGCCACAGAAAGTACAACTTGGTTCCCTCTTGTCCTTCTGCTCCCTATCCTGTTGTGTAGCTGTACCAAATGCCTTTGTGCATCTTGATTTTTGTAGTTTTTCTTTCTCATCTTTATTGTAGGAAGCATTTTTCTCAGTCCTCTGATATCCCAATCCCTGTACCATGGGATCGTTAATGTTTCTTTCAGTCTGTATGACGAACTGTGCAAGGTCTTCCAGGGTGGGATTCCTATTAGCAATATCACGAGTCAGGCCTACTCGTGAAATCCACTTCTGCTGGAGATACAAGGGTAGTTTGCTTGCCAGAACTCTCAGAAAACTTGCACTATCCATGCCTCCTAAGTCCCCTGCTGCTCTAACATGCGAGCAATTATTGAGGTATATTGCGAATTTTCGCAATCCTTGCCTATCTCCTGATCGTATCTGCTCCCAGGCAACTGCCCTTTCCTTGTATGCATTTATTATGTTACTCTGCTTTCCATAGTCTCTGTGTAGCATGGACTTAGCTGTCTCATATGCCCTCTTACTTGGTTGTATGTGGGGGCATTCTCGAATAAGCTCATGCGCTTCTCCTCATGTGTATTTTAGTAGAAGCTCTAGTCTTCTGAAAGGTTCATCAGTTCTCTTTTCAACCACATATTCAAAATTCCTTATAAAGGTAAGGTAATCAAGTGGATCCCCATTGAACGGCTCGAGATCTGGCGATGGTAGACTGTTTTCTGCAGTGAATCTAATCATCTCCCTAAGCATCTGTTTGGTGGCTCCTTCTTCATTGCTCACAGGTTCCTTGCGAAAGGCTTGTTCTTGTTCTTGTCCACGACCACCGACAAAATCACCTCTAACTCGTTCTTGTCCACGATCACGGAAAGAGTCACCACTAACTTGATCTCGTTCTTGTCCACGATCACCGACAAAATCATCTCTAACTCGTTCTCGTTCTTGTCCACGATCACGGAAAGAATCACCTCTAACTTGATCTCTTTCTTGTCCACGATCACGGAAAGAGTCACCTCTTACTTGTTCTCGTTCTTGTCCACGATCACGGAAAGAGTCACCTCTAACTTGATCTCTTTCTGTAGCTCTTCCTCTGAATCTTGTTGTAGAAGCTTCAATTCTGCTTGCAAGAGAATAGCAGTCTTTTGTCTTTCAATCTCCGCTTCTTCATCCTTCAAAAGCTGACTCTTTCTCAAATTCTCAGCCTTTTCTTTTGCAATTCGTATTTCTTGTTCGGCTTGTTCCATTTCATGTTGTTTTTGAAGTGTTCTCAGTTTCTTCTCAAGTTCACTCGTTTGATGTAAGGCTATCAACTTTGCTTTAAGTTGTCTTTCCTTCTTTCTCTCTCTTTCTCTCCTCTTTGCAGTACTGGCAGAAGAGGCCGATGATCCACATAATGACAATGTGGATTCTGAGTCATCTTGATCTTCTTTCCCATTCTCTAGATCTCTTTCTCTAGTAAAGCTCCTTGTTGCACCACTCTCCTTATCATCAACATGATCAAAATCATTGCCACTGGCATTGCTCAGTTCCTTATCTTTCACGACATGATCAATATCATTGCCATTGGCATTGCTTGGTTCCTTATCTTTCCCACCTGGGGATTTGGGAGTAGTATTCCCATCCAGCATAATTGCAATTTACTTGATAAACATTCCTTTCAAATCAGCAGTAACGTGTAGAGCTATAGAGTCTAGCCGATTTCACTTCAAAGTTTCATTTCATTCAGCCAATTTCACTTCTGAGTTTCATTTCATTGAATTACTCACTGTGTCACGTCACGTCAGAGACTTTAGTACTTGTGCAGTGTTCGCGAGTATCACGCCCGGGGGCTTTGCCGTGTCGATTTCCTTCATCCACATGATCCGTTGAAGAATCGACTTTGTTTTACTAATGTAGAGATATCTACATATGATCCTTGAGACAATGTGGTAATTTCATGGTTCTTTGTTTATTAACACTCAACTGAACTCCCATCAATTCCATATACCGGAATGTACAAAGTAGCAATAATAGTAGTAGTTTAGTAGGTAAAACAAAGTTTTCCTTCCTTGAATCCGTGCCCACATCATATTATATCTGTAGTTTCCATGTGAAAAGCCTAGCTACGTTTGTACAACAATTCCAGTCAATCTACGGTATCCTCAAAACAAAAACTAAATTTGGCTTCTTATATCTTGATCCTTACATCAACTTTTAAATCATGACCTTTATTTGGACATTTGATGAATATTTACTTCATTTTGGGTTTGTTTTAGTAGGGTATCTCCACACCCGGAGTTACGGGTCAAAGTTTGGATAGACTTCTGAACTAGCGCCAATAAAACTACTTTTACGTAGTCTTCAAGAGCAGGCGTTTACAAATAATTAACTGAACAATTTTAAATACTACTTTACATAAAAAAATAGTTTTATTTAATTGTTTCAATTTTGTTTATTTTAATTTAAACAACTTAAATTTATATTACTTAAATTCTATTCTAAACGATTGAAGTGGAAGACTAGTGAATAAACCCTTTCGAGAAAATCCTTCACCCCCACCCCCCCCCTGCTTATCTTAAAAGGGTGAGTGAAGGCAGTTCTCCGTTCTCAACGTGGGGGCGGGGGGGGGGGGGGGCTTTTCTCGATAGAGTGCATTTGACGGACCCCATAGGGCCGCACTGCACACTCAAAGCCATAATATATTGTATGTTGTAAATATTTTTTTTAGGTATTGCTGCCTATGTCATCACCAACACTGTTGTCAAATGAGAACCTACATCTTACACCATGAGTGAATTCTGCCTTCTCTATCTGCTCCTGCTCCTCTTGATGAGATCTGGTGACGTTGAAACCAATCCAGGTCCTAACACTGCAGAAAGGTATGCATATACTTGCTTTAATACTTCTAATCATTGCGTCTGGTCGGGTGGTTGCGTTACACGACTTTGCTTGAAACAAAAGATCATGTGACGATGTATGTTCAGGATGCGATCCGTGTTAGATTTGCTGTAGGGTTTTCACAAAGTGTCTGGTAAATTGGACCAGACCATTGGTAGATGAGAGGGTTTTATTTCACAAACAATACCCCTGATTATTCATGAATAAAGAGGTATGTTATCGCAAAAGGTCAGGTAACACCCAACCCAACCCGATGATTTGAAATAAGCCCATATACTAGTAACCTTTGGGGATTAATAATAAAGTTTAGTTCTGGTCACGCGATTGCATTGCAAAAGAAACATTGTGGAAGTGATATGAAAGGTTGATCATGCATGTAGCGCAAAAGTATTGGTGTATATCAGGGGTATTTGGTTTTGTCGTCAAAATTATTATGTTGCCCAGTCTTGCTAAAAGTCACATGCACAGGACACAGAAATGTGTATTATAGGACTAACATGTAGCAAGAAAGTGTGGTCCACAATAAATTAGTTGTCATATTTTAAATATGAAGGCATTTGAAGAGCCATCTTTTTCAAGGAATGTTTTTTCTATGATACAGGTACTCTTCCACACTAACCTACACAGAATGAAAAGGCTCACAAATTATTTTCACCTTTCCCAGAACTCGAACTTATCATGTGATTACAATATATCCATATAGACTATGCATGATACAGATACTCATCATGATGATGAAAGTAATAATATTAATGATAGTAGTAGTAGTAGTAGTAGTAGTTAGTAGTATATTAGTAGTAGTGATAATACTAATAGTAATAATAATGATAATAATGGTAATAATAATGGTAATCATCATCATCATCACCATCAGTTCTAGTAATAATAATGTAAACTTAGAAGTAGTAGTAATCTTTTTCTTCTTATCATTATTGCTATCATCATCATTATTGTATTTACTGCCAGACTCTGCTTTTGGAGGAACAATTAACTTTGCCAGAACAATACTGCCCTCACCTGCAATTTAGAGCAGTATGTTGCAAATGTTAATATCACAGGCAATATATTCTGATATCCCCAGGTTGTTATATTGCTCACTCGAGCACGCACATGTACATAATACTCAATGTTGAGTATCACATGATAGCTTCTCATCCAATAGGATGCTCTCTAACTAATTTCCTATCATTCCAAATTGATTTATTATTCATTTAACAGTACTGTCAGTGAAATGGAGTTCCTGAAGCTGGCCCGGAACATCCCTCCATCTCACTACGAGGATGTAGGGATATCTCTAGGGATCCCCTATGCTCAGCTACAGGCAATCCTAAGTGAGAAGCTGAAGAACTACAAAAATGCCTTAATGGATGTGTTTATGAAATGGAATGTCATGCAGCAACCTCCACACTCAAACAAACGACAGCTTTTGGCAGAAAAACTACGAGAGATTGACCTGGGTGGCCTATCAGACAGATTACTCAATGGACCTCCAATTTCAAACAGCACAGGTAAACAAATACTAATTCTTGCTACACCAGAAGAAATACAAAATATATACCATAGAGATAGTGAATTCTCTGTGTTCTATACATTTGCCCCAATTTACAAAAGTGTCAAATTTTATCAAGTCCATGCATTTTTATATAATTTACTAATTTAACTTTGTTAATCCTAGATATTTTCTGGACACCAATGACAAGTACTTTGAGCGACAGCAGAGTTTGATGTATGCCAGCTTTAGTTATATTATTTTTGTCATCCCATTATGATAACTGTAATTATGCATTCGCCCGCCGAATATGTTTTTGAGTTGTATGTCCATTCATACTGCTGTTTTGCTATTGCAATATCTCGAGAACCACTTGAGGTATGAACTTCAAACTTGTTGATAGTATTTATCACCATAGGAAAATAATCTTGATTAGATTTGGGTGTAAGTGGGTCATAGAGGAAATTGAATATAGAGGTTTTAGCCTCATGATATGTCAAGAACCACTTGAAGTTGTGAACTTCAAACTTGGGTGTTATCGTGCATCCCCAAAGTGAGATGAAGTGATTAGATTTCGGGATAAGTATGTCAAGGTCCATGAGGGTCAAAATAAATTAATCTTTAGGGTTTGAGCCCCATTATTGCAATGTCTCAAGAACGGTTTGAGCCATAAATTTCAAACTTGGTGTTGGTACATTATGTATCACCATATTGAGAAAAACTAATTTATATTTTGGGTTAAGAAGATCAAAGGTCAGCAAAATGAAACGATTACCACCATATCAATAACTACTTTGAGCTAATTTACCTGGAAAATTGAAAATTAAAAAACTATGTATGGTATGCTTCACCATAGGGAGACAAGTGATCAGATGTTGGATTGTCAGGTTAAGGTCATAAAGAAAGATCAATCATCATGTATTTGTGTGTATATATATATATATATAAATAGGCTTCTTGTTCTGATTATGATATTTAAAGATTGATTCAAGTCCTGATCTTAGGCGGAGGCATACTGGAGATACAGTCATATTTGTCTTCTTTTCAAAATAAGATGTGTGATTGTCAGGGAAACTCTACATAGCTGAAATGTCCTAGGAAAAATTATTCCAGTGATTTTCATCTACAAGTACATGTACCGGGTATACACAAATTTCTCAGATTTCAAATGCCCTTAAAGTTGAATGAAGTCATATAAATTCAGACAAATATGTAGGACTCTGTGTCTTTGAGTAAATTCACCTAGTTGAATGTCACACTATTAGCCCCAGGCCTTTACAATCCTTTCAGATGTATCAAACTATGTTTACGTGTAATCATGTGAATATGGATTATCTATGTATTTTTAGGAGGGCCATCAAGACTGCTTGAATCACAGACCAAACCTCCTTCAGCTGAATCCGAGACCAAATCACTTTCTCCTGAACTGGTTGAGCGGTGTGCAAAGGATTTCAAGTTCAAGTACAGGTCAACTCTCTGTAAGATCAGAGCTGATCCTCTCAAGCCTTCTTCTCTTGTGGGTTTTGAAAAACTACACACAAGTCTTGTGTTGGAAAAAGAGGATGGAATTGGCAAGCAAACATTAGATTATGACAATTTTCTTGATCTCAAAGTCAATCGAGAGTTCCCCACAAGGATCATGGTTCAGGGAGAGGCAGGGGCTGGAAAAACTACATTTTGTGCTAAGATTGCCTGGGACTGGATTGAAGGGAGGCATTTCAGTCACTTTGTGTGGGTCTTGATCGTTCCTCTACGTGAATTTAAGCAACGCACTATTGGCGAGATCGCAAAGTCTTATCTGGACAAAAGCAATCCAGCAACGGTTTCCCAGATAATTGAGTATATCCGGTCAAATCCTGACAAGGTATTCATCGCATTTGATGGGCTAGATGAAGTCAGTGGTAAAATCTTAAAGACAAAATCTCACCAATCACAGCCTACTAATCAAATGCAACTTCAGCCATCACAGCCAAGCGTCTCCTCAGAGGCATGTGGAAGTTCATCTGAGATTGATGATATTGGACTTGGAGATATTCTTTGTTCAGATCAACTTGCCTCTTGCCCAGTCTTGGTGACCACTCGCCCATGGAGAGCAGTAGAGATTAGATCAGATGGGGATCTAATGAAGCTCTACACATTCATTCATGTAGAGGGTTTCAACAGAGAGAATTTGTCACTTTACATTCACAAATACTTTCCAAAGAATAAGGAAAAAGCAAATCAGCTTATCCAGTTCATCAGTGAGAATGATGCCATATATGAAAACATGGCCCACTACCCTATATATGTAGCTATGTTGTGTCTTATGTGGAAAGAACTTGACAAGCAAAAACTAAAGGAAATGAAACCCCTGAAAACTTTTTCTCAGATATTCAAAGAAATGATTGCCTTTCTAAAAGAGCATTATGCTCAGAAAAAGGAGAAGAAGGTAGGCAGCCCGGCATATCTTGCCTATTTGAAAGAAATTGATGAGCTCCTTGGACCGATTGCCAAACAAGCTCTCACTGGTCTGCTAGAAAATACCTTGATTTTCAATGAATATGACTTCAAAATATGCCCCAAATCCAAGGACACTGCCTGTAGGGTTGGGATTTTGTCTCAGGAGGACAGAATTACCACTAGCATGGACATACATAAGGGGACTTCTCATGTGCAATTGCCAGTCTTCTTCCCTCACAAACTGTTTCAGGAGTACATGGCTGGAGTCCATCTTGCTTCCCTGTATGATACAGATCGTAATGAATTCAACAGGCTGATTGAGGAGGTAGTGATGCCAAGGAAGGCGGAGTTTAGGTATCTCCTGTACTTTACTGTGTCACAGAACAAATGTACTGCAACCCATGTAGTGAAGTCTATGCTTCAGGGACTAAGCATGGACTTGTGGGACATAGAAAAAGAGTTACCTTTCATTGTTGATGTAGCCTTCGAGAGTCAGGACCCAGATGTAGCAGCCTTGGTGAAGGACAGGGTTGCATCAGAGGAGATAGGGCTGACCATATCCAGTGGCATGACAGCACACACTGTAGCTGGTTATGCATTCATTGGACCACATGTGGTTAGTTTAATCATAGTTTGATAAACCAAATTAGTTCATTCATTTTTGTAAAAGTTCTTACTCTTACATCTTTGCAATTTTCTTACAGAAAAATGGTATAATTATGGAACGGTGCATCTCGACTAGCACAGCTGCTATTATCTTCATGGCCCCTTTTACCAACCAATAGTTTCTCTTCTCATATATGTACAAATCAAATCAAAGAGGTTTGAACAGTAATAATTTGGAAACTAGAACGATATGCATGCATTGATGCCTGCATTTCTATTTATTTGAGCAGATAAATAAAGCAATTACCGGTAGATGATCGTATGTACACAACATGCAACAAGAAACACGTCATTACGCACAGATGGTTTTCCATATACTTTGGCCTACATGTATATGACCTTGCATGCTAACATACTAAAACTTGACCCATATAGTGCGATACATTGTAATGCAGGATATAAAATGGCATCTAAAACGTCCCTCTTCACAGATTTTCAAAATTGGACTATGAGATGCCCCGAGTTTGGCCACCCAGAACATACTCGCAAAATTTCAAGATAAAGAAAATAAAAAAGGGACACAGGCAAAATTCAGTCTGAATATTGACGTCATAGTCGATACATGTTACAGTTGGGAAGAAACCCTGCTTAATCTGAATTGTGACTTGCTTTCAATTTTGATTCACTCAAAATGTATGTATGGTATCATTTGAAGGTGCATTTCATTGTGATCATTTTTCCCCCTTTTTCATCCACGCTTATGTGTTACAATGTAGGATAGTGGAGATACGTAGGCTGAAAAGGCATGAAAACGGATCTGAAACAGTCAAAATGGTGCCTGGACAGTCAGTTCAGGGCACACAATGGGATAGCTAGTAAAGAATATGCATACAAAATCTGAAAGGACTTGGGATAGAGAACAGGATCTAATTAGGAACAACAAGCACTGCGTGCACAACGAATGTGATTTGAGTGGAAGAGGAATAAGAAAAATTATGCGCAAATTTTCAAGGCATTGACGAGGACATCAATGCAATTACATTGAAGAGCTGTACTGGCACGTGCATATAATATATACACAGTGCATCGATACCTTTTAGATGAAATAGAATTTAAGGAAAGGGAACTTTATAAATAGTTTGCACTTTGTACATTTTCATCCCTTCAAAAAAATTGTCTCTTGCCTCTTGAAACTTTGATTATGACCTTCCATGACCTGGTATGAATAAACGTATGAATAAAGAGTGGCCTACTTGGGATACTGACTAAATATTTTTTGTATACAAACATTTCAAGGCTCCGACTCGCAGGCCCAGGTTTACAGTCTTTACAAACCAGCTAGCTGATCTCACATTCTTATTCATATTCTTGTCCTGAAACCTCGCAAATCTTCTCATTCTATAATATTTCCCAAATGGCCACCTAATATTCAAATGTGCATCTTCTTTTTTATCTAGTGAAATTCAACTACCACATACATCTGTGAATCTTGATGTACACCCCCTCTTTCTTTTGTTTTCTTTTTTTCTCTATTCCATTTTACCAATATTTTTTTCTCCATATTTGTATTATTATTATTATGTATCCATTGAGGGTAGTCATGCTATCAAGCTTTGCTTACTTTGTCAACCCTCCTGTTTGATGTTTTCGATTAGTTACAGCCAACCTTACTACATGTATGTTTTACATATATACTCTTTTGTCATGTATAAAATTTCAACAATTTGTTTGTTATATATATACGTCCCAATTCTTGATTTATATTTGTTCAACAGGGCACAATGGAATCTGTTTGATATTATTGGCCCTGTGTAAAATTGGTGTTATTGATATTGCAACTCTTAACATACATGTACATGATTACTGTAGATCAATTCATCCAATCTTCTGCTTCACTCTCCCTCGGTAAGACTTAATACATGTATATGTGCTCATGCAGGGGGGTATCAACATTTACTTCTTTTCTCATTTGTGAGCCTAGATTTTTGCTCTGTATCCATGCTTTTAATTTAGTGATTGTATTCCTATATATTAACATTTATAAATGATTAAGGTATGAGGCACAGATGGTGTGAACTTAAGTAATCTCCTCTGAAACCTGTTCTTAGACTTATACTCTCCTTTTATTTTTATTCTCTGTTTGTACATGGGAAACTATTAAAATAAGATATTCCTACTGTTGCAAAAATAGGAATTCGATATGAAATGTCATGGTAATAGTTTCAGCCTGTACCCCTATTTATTTCCTTTTCCTCTACGTAGTTTCTAGCAGCACATCTCGGGCACCCGCCCATGTAGGTTACACATGTATGCCTAACATTCAAGTGAACATTTATATTTTGCATCACATCAGTAATCACTTTGTCCTTTTAATCCAGGTTAAACTCTGTACTGAGAGAAATTGTGGACCTACTATGTCACTTGATGTGGCAGAGACGATGTGCTCCATACCATCCTTGAAGGAAGTTTCTCTTCATAAAGGTGCATACCATCATTGTTTTTTTGAAACACTTGCAAAGAAAGGAAAAGAATCAAAGGTGAGCAGTCCACCCACACTTGTGATGTATGTATGAGTGTTTAATTCAATTTCATTCCAATACCATCTCTTTCCCTTTTCTAATCTACACTTTACTTTTCTTCAAGGAATTAAAATGTCTCATAATATATGCTGGTTCTTTTGACAGAAGAATATATCAATCATCACTAAGTATGAATACTAACCATGGAAACCTAGAGGGTGGGCGGGGAGTATCATGTAAACAGTTGTATGCTATAAGACAACTTGAATGCTCTGCAAAAAACTCCCATATAGGAAAATCACAACATCCTTAAAGGGGAAGTCCTTCCTAATGTTATTTTGGCTTTAATAAAAACAAAAAAATATGAGAAACAAAGTAGGGAAAGTTTGGGCGATATCCGATTTAAAAAATGCAAAAGTTATGAATTTTTATGCTGTCATCAGTGGAACACATATTTACAACACTGGTGTATCTTTGAGCTCCTCTCCGATTTGCTCTGTATAGAAAATGTCATGAACTTTCATTTATAAAATTGATTTATAGTGCTAAGAACCATTACCTATGCCATGGAGGAGCCTTCTGGTGTGTCTTCAAAATACGAAAAGGTAGTTGTTGCTGTGGATGTGTTGGCCACAGGTTCAACTTCAAAATTGGGTATGAATGGTTACGGTACTCAATGCAATACATTTGATTTGCACACAAATTACATCACTCACCGTTAATCAGCTCAGCTGTGCATTCTGTGACAAAAAATCAGCATGTACATGTATTACCATTATTTTTGGGGTTTGGATTGGGTTGATTTTTCGTCATTCTTAATCAACTTTTATAATTTTCGCTAGAATTAACAAGTTAAACAAATGTAATATTCTTACTCGGTATTAGTTTATGATTGCAAAGATACCAAAGTCAGTCAAGTCCAAAATCAATGAATCCTCTCTTTAAGAATGTGAATATTATTACAGCTGTGTTATGCATTTCGTTGGTGATAAATATAAGAATGCAATGAGAAATTAGTGCTAGTAAATGAATATATGCATGTATAGATGAGTTACTTAACTATATTGACAAACCATGCAGGTCCAGACTCTCAAGCTTGTTGGAGTCAAATACCCCACACCAGCATCATTACATCACCTAGTAGAAGCACTGTGTTCCATGCCAAAGCTGACTGACTTGACACTTGAAATGATTCTCACTGAGGTGTTCTACTCTACATTGAAAGCAAAGGCATCATCCATACAGGTATTTGTGTCCCAATTTATATGTCATTGAGGGTCATTGAAAGAAATAAAGAGCAGTAATGATTATATGGGGCACATTTACATTTTTTTTCTCCAAACACCCTGTTTTAAAGGCCCTTCTTGCTATATTGGAACAGTCAGTGGCGTACGCAGGATTTTTTCAAGGGGGGGGGGGGGTTTTAAAATCGAGTCCAAAATTTCGCAACGACTCAGGAAAATTAGAAAATCGCGCCGGCCAAAAAGTCGCTCAGTGGGGGAGGGGGGGGGGGGGGGGGAAGCGGACACTTTTTTTTTTTTTTGGGAGCCCAAAAAAAATCGCAACGACTCAGCCAGCCGAAAAGTCGCTCAGTGGGGGGGGGGGGGGGGGGGGGGGGGGGGGGGGGTAAGAGGTCACTTTTTTTGGGGGGGGGGGAGGTCCCCAAAAAATCGCAACGACTCAGCCAGCCGAAAAGTCGCTCAGTGGGGGGGGGGGGGGGGGGGGGGTAAGAGGACACTTTTTTTTTTTTTTTTGGTCTCGAAATTTGAAAATATGACATTTTGCTCCGTTGTGGGGGGGGGGGGGTTAGGTTAGCTTTTTTAGGTCAACCATGGGAATTTTTTTTTTTTTTTTTTTTTTTTTTTTTAATAAAAAAAAAAAGGGGGGGGGGTTTTTTAGAGAAATTTAGGGGGGGTTTACACACAAAAAATTACCAAAGGGGGGGGGGGTTTAACCCACAAAACCCCCCCCCCCCCCCCTGTGTACGCGCCTGGGAACAGTCATGATACATGGAATGAAAGCAAACTACACATGTACTGATTCAGTTGAAATTCGAGTGTGTATAAACATTTACATAGTTTTGATCAATAATCAATATGCACCCTATTCCGAAAGGTGGACCTGTGCGCTATACAAGTAGTCACTATTATTATTATTATTATTATATGGTTTGTTAAGAGCCAATTTTAATAAAGACTTGAATTTACCAAACCGTATCATAGCAACAAACCTCCTGAATTAGGGACCTTGTGCACGTGAAATCCAGAGTTATTTGCTAAAATAGCAAATGCATATTTCTGGGTATTATTAATTTCAGTGTTATTATGAGTAGGACATATCAATGCAAACAGGTTGGAAGCCCTGAAAAGAAAACATATATAATTTAATAAAATATTTATAAAAAACGCTTTTTCTAATATCAACCTTTCCCTTGAAACTTTAGTGTGTGTTTTTAATTGCAATAGACAAGAATACAATTTGAAAATAAAATCTATTCAATCATTTTTTGTGAGAATATTATTATAATTGCAACTATGGAACTAATAGAATTCATGTGAAATGTAAGAATTCAATGAGAAATTAGTAAATAAAACATATGCATGTATAGACGTGCTGCTTAACTATATTGACAAACCATACAGGTCCAAACTCTTGAGCTTGATGATGTCCAGTGTCCCACACCGGCCTCATCACATCACCTTGTAGAAGCACTGTGTTCTATGCCAAACCTGACTGACCTGAAACTTGTAATGTTTCTCACTGAAGAGTTCTACTCTACATTGAAAGCAAAGGCATCATCAATAAAGGTACGTGTGTACTAATGTAACTGCATGGAGAGGGTCATTGATAGACAGAAACGGCAGTAATGGTCATATGTATTGGAACAGTCGTGAAATATGGAATCAAATCAAACTACGCATATGCTGATCCAGTTGAAATTCAAGTGTGTATAAGATTTACAATGTTTTGATAAATTATCAATATCCTACCTTTTCTGAGTTTGATTGATAGGAAACATATGTTATTTAGTTTTTAAGAGCCAATTTTAATAAAGACGTGAATTTACCGAACTGTACCAAAGCAACAAACCTCCTGACTTAGGAGTCTTGTGCACATGAAATCCAGTGTTATTTGCTACTATAGCAAATGCTTATTTCAGAGTATAATTAATTTGAGTGTTATTAGGATTGGGACTTAACAATTGTATTTCACCAAGTATATGTGGTCGTGGTTATTTTACCTGATTGCTAAGAAAGCATAAATGCTTGTAAGTAAGCAACCAGACGGCCGACGGCTTTAGGTCCTCTCCGAGGGACCTGGTAATGAGGATTAATGCCTTACCAAAGGGCACTAGCGCATCGCCTTCGTTTCGAACTGGGGTCACCGGATTACGAGACCACTGCTCTACCGACTGAGCTGTCTCACCTCAAATGCAACTATTAATAAAACATAGAAGTTTTAAAATATTGTAAAAAACACTCTTACTAATTGCATCCTTTCCATAGAAACTTTAGTATGTTTCTTTTTTGCATTAAACAAGAGTAGAATTTAAAACTATAGTCTATTCAATAATTTTTTGTAGGCCTGAGTCAAAACGGTTCCCCGCCCGGTCCCCGACCGTCGCGCCGAAACCCGGGTTTGAATATTCAATTTTCGGGTTTTTCAAAATTAAATTTCACACAGATATCGATATCGAGTTCAGCTAGCCATCATTTTGAAACGAGACGTATAGTTGTCATGCAGCGCAGTAGACCGTAGGTGGCAGTATGCAGAGAGGGAAAAATTGGCGGGCCTTAGATCACGTGATATTTCCCTCTCTGCATACTGCCACCTACGGTCTACTGCACTGCATGACAACTTACGTCTCGTTTCAAAATGATGGCTAGCTGAACTCGATATCAAGTACGTAGCTCATGAAATATCATTATTTCTGTAAGATATTATGAATAGCTATAGTATTATTTGTCAAAGCAAATTATTAATTTACGATAATTTTGTTGAATTGGAGTCCCTTAAAGTCTTACATGATTTTTTAAAATTGGTTTAATGCTCATTGTTCCGATCAACTAGGATGACGGTGTAAGGATGTAAACACGCATATCAAGCTTGACTCGTAACTTCAGCTTGCCGTTAAACACGCATTTTTAGAACGAACGAAAGGCACTTCGATGTTATTTCAAGAGCTTTAAATTATTTTCCTTCATCAAAATATCAAGGGTAAACCAGTATGTTGGGGATATATTTTGACAATTCTCGCTACCCCAAATAGCGATTCTGCCGAGATCCGGGGAAAATCCTGAAAACGCGCATTGCATTATGGGATAGCTTTTCGACATTACAGCTTCCTGTGCAGGTGTTCGTGATCACAACCCTCTCTTTCACGGTAGAGTTTAACGGCCTTTTGTGCTAAAGTCACTAATTCTGCCCGAAGCTTTCCATTGCATATTATAATCTGTACACATTACACTGATTGGCATCGATTTTAGCGTGCGTGAAAACTCTGCACAGCGAACACAGGCGCTAGCGCCAGCGGGATGGGACTCTATACCGGAAGTTGTAGTGACGACCCGAGAGAGTGAAAATTACCTCGTCTCGCGAATTTCGAGATTTTCGTACCTATTTAGGGTAGCGAGAATTAAATTAATGCCTGTTAAATTAGTATTACGATTTAATTGTAATAGTCTGATCAACATTTTAGTCTTGTGTGTGGGACTTTCTTAACTTGCTCAGTCTTCAGTGGGTCATATTTCCACATCTGTTTCTGATCGAACGCACTAGGTACTACGAAGCGTGATTCCTTTATTGCAGCCTCATTTTTAGAGCAATAAAAACACCTACCGTCAACTGAAACGATATCCATTTATTTTTTTAAGCATTTTAATTGAATTCAATTTATTATTTTATTGTTTTGAAAGCATTAACTGTCTTTTCCGTCGCACTATTAGAACAGCAACTTAATCTTAACTCCCGCCGCTGCATGCACACGACTTTAGTGTCAGTGGGGAAAATTACGGGTACCCGGTCCCCGCCCGAAATTTTCAAGTCAAACCCGGGTTCGGCAAAACCAGTGATGACTCGGGCCTAATTTTTTGTGAGAATATTATTATACATGGAACTATGTAATTAATAGAATTGTTGTGAAATGTTAGAATACAATGATAAATTAGTTTAAAAAAACATATGATGTATATAAAGACGTGATGCTTAATTATTTTCACCATGAATGCAGGTCCAGACTCTCAAGCTTATTGATTATAAGTGTACCCCGTCAGCCTCATCGCATCACCTAGCAGAAGCACTGTGTTTAATGCCAAACCTGACTGACCTGACACTTCAAATTAATCTCAATGAGGAGTTCTACTCCGCATTGGAAGCAAAAGCATCATCCATACAGGTACACATGTACTAATTTATACGTAATTTCAAGGGTCATTGAAGAAGAGTATTGGTGATTATATGATGCAAATGTATATAGTTTTTTTTTATATTCCAAACACACTTTTGTTCTTTAAATGCCATTCACAGAATATGTAGGAATAGTAATGCAAAATTGAAGGAAAGCAAACTACGCATGTGCTGATTCACTTGAAATTGAAGTGTGTATAAGATTGACATTGTTTTGATCAATAATCAATATCCAACCTTTTCCAAGTTTGATTGATAGGAAAAATATGTCATATAGTTTTTTTTAAGAACCAATTTCAATAGATGCTTGAATTTACCAAACTGTAACATTGCACATAAAAAACACACCAGAATTAGGCATATTGTGCACAAGAAATCCAAAGTTATGAATACCTTTAACTTGTATACATTAAAGATGAAGTTGAGTTCTGGTCATGCGATTGCATTGTGAAAGAAACGGTGTGGAATCGACCAGAAAAGGTTGATCATCTAGTGCAGGCCTTCTCAACTGGCGGCGCACGCGGTCGGAGTGGCACACGGCTATTCAAAAAAAATTATAAAAAATAAATAAAAATTAAAAGACTCAGCAAAATCAAAAAGTCGCAGTCGAAGATGAGCCCAAAATGTAAGCAAACTATTTTGTTTGTTTCATTTTCACTTGATTTTGACATTTTCCGTGTTTATTGCCCCAAAATAACTACATATAAATTTACTTACAGTGTAGATTTTACCCAGGAATTGTACTAATTATTTCACTTCAATATGAAATTATGATTGATATTTTATGGAATAAAAAGGTGGTCAAAATACCACATCTGGGCCTTAAAAAAGCCCTAAAATCCACTAGCTTCCTGGAGCTTTGCCCCCTGGACCCCTCCCGGTATCGGCTCGGTCGCTACGCTCCCTCGCAACACAGTCACCAAACATACAGGTTGGCACTTCAACCTCAATAAATTTTTGTTTTGGCACCTCTAATAAACTAGTTGAGAAGGCCTAATCTAGCGTATAAGATTTGTGTATATTGCAAGGTTCTGGAATCATCAAAATGATAAGAAATTTGGCCAAGTCTTGGTAAAGTTACAAACACTGTACACAGAAAGATGTATATAGAACTACACAAACACGTGGGATAAAAATCCTACCCCGGAGTTTTACGATGTTACATGACATATTTAGAATATGAAGGCATTTGAAAAGCCATGCTTTTCAAGGAACATGTCTTATCTGATGTTCTTCCACACTTGCATAATAAGAATGATAACGCTCACAAATTATTTTTCACCTCTTCCCGGAACTCAACCTTCTCTTTAATAGCAAATGCATATTTACTGGTATTATAAATTACAGTGTAAGTAGGAGAAGGCATCATCAATGCAAACAGGTTGGAAGCCCTTTTAAAGGCACACTGTCCTACTTGTATCTACTTGCTCCCTCTATATAGAAAACTTCCCAAATCGGTGCCTGTTGGTCCCCCATGATCCTCTTTTTCTTATGTTAAATGAGAGCTGAGTTAATGAGATAGCCACCTGTCACAGTGACCTCGATGGCTCGCTGTGTGGTCTAATCCCTTCTCGCAGAAGTAGTAACGCCTACCTTTAAGAATACATATATAATTTTTTGGTTAATCAATCTTACTAATCATCCTCTCAATAGTATTTTTTTACTTCTCAATAGACAAGTATTGAATTTGAAAACAAAATCTATTTAATCATTGTTGCTGGGAATTTTATTATGAATACAGCCATGTAAGGAACTGAATTTGTGTGAAATGTAAGAATACAGTCAGAAATTAGTAAATAAAACATGCGTGTATAGACGAGCAGCTTAAGTATATTTACAAACAATGCAGGTCCAGACTCTCATGTTCTTAACTGGCCTGCAGTGTCCCACACCAGCCTCATCACATCACCTAGCAGAAGCACTGTGTACTATGCCAGACCTCACTAACCTGACACTTGGAGGGGGTCTCACTGAGCAGTTCAACTTGACATTGAAAGCAAAGGCATCATCCATACATGTATGTGTGTAGTGCTGTGTCCTAATGTAAATGTGATGTAGAAGGCCATTGCTAGACAGAAAGAGCAGTAATGGTCATATGGTGCACATGTATATAAATATTATGTTGGTGTTTTCAAGCACCTTTTTTCAAGTCCATTTGATATATTGGAACGGTCATGAAATATGGCATAAATGCAAACTTCACATGTACTGATTTAGTTGCAAATCATGTGTGTATAAGATTGATATTGTTTTTATCAATAATCTCTATCCAACTTTGTCCATGTTTGATTCATAGGGGAAAAGTTTCATATAGTCTTTTAAGGGCCAATTCTAATAAAGGCTTGAATTTACCAAACTCTTCCATAGCAACAAACCTCTTGACTTAGGGATCTTGTGGACTTGAAACTCAGGGTTATGAATACCTTTAATACATTTATAGCAAATGTATATGTATGGGTATCATTCATTTCAGTGTTAGTAGCATTAGGACCTATCAATGCAACAGGTTGGAAGCCCTTTAAGAGTACATATTTAATTATTTTTTAATCACTCTTACTATATTGTTCTTACCATAGAAACTTTTATGAGTTCTTTTACTTCAAGAGACAAGAATTGAATTTGAAAATATAATGTATTTAAATATTTTTGTTGAATTTTTTTTATGAATGCATCTATGAAATTGATAGAATTTGTGTAAAATGTAAGAATACGATAAACAATTAATAAATAAAACATATGCATGTATAGACGTGCTGCTTAACTATATTCACACACACAATGCAGGTCCAGACTCTTGTGCTTGATGATGTCCAGTGTCTCGCATCAGCCTCATCACATCACCTAGCAGAAGCACTGTGTTCTATGCCAAACCTGACTGACCTGACACTTGAAAGGAATCTCAATGAGGAGTTCTATTCTACATTGAAAGCAAAGGCACGATCCATACAAGTATGTGTGTACTAATGTAAATGTCATGACGAAGGGTCATTGAAAGACAGAAAGAGCAAAAATGGTATCATTTTATGGTGCACATATATAAAAAAAAATTCTTCGCCAAACACCCTTTTTTATTAAGGCCTTTCACTTGGTATTATATTGATCTTGATAGAGTTGATAGAGAATGTCTACCTTCTTATTCTGTAAGTACTTAAACATTTTCTTCCGTTTAACATAATCTCATAAACCACATACATTGAGCGATAAAAGTATAATATTTATCTTATCTCATTCTTCTTTAAGTTTGAAAATACATCAGCAGTTTTCTTCAAATTATGGATCAATACAAACTTATGTATTGTGTTATTTGTATCCTAAATAAATTGTTTGCATGAATCTTAATTAAGTAGAGGGTAAAACAAAGAAAAACAAATAAAACAACCTGTGACGCCTCAGGCATCATATGGAAAAATCAAAGTACCTATTTTGACATCAGGGTTCCTGCATTGAATTGTATACTAAGCTTGCTCTCCCATGTCCGTGATATTTGAAAAGAAAACAGAAGAGAGATTATCATTAGGGTGATACATTATTCTGTGCTGGACTTTCTCCGCGTTTAACACATCCGTCATCCGAACCGTTTTTAGCGATCCTCTGCCATCTTTGCCCCCTTCATTCCATTTGATCACTCTGTGGATTGACCAGGCGACAAAAACAAAGTGGTCTGCATCTCGTAATTCATGCACTTTTTTAATTATAATCTTATGATCTTTGCGATTGGATGGATAAACGTCGTCACTAACGTAAATGCTTTTTTCGTTGAAATTGAGTCACTTTCCTTTCAACGACGCTGCATAATAATTTACTGTTCATAGATGATTTTTAAAAATAATTAGCAATTTTCTAGGCGTAAACTTGTTTTTGACTCACACGGCAGTATGAGAAAAAGTATAAAGAATTCTCTAACTGGTAGTGTTTTTTTTTTTTTTTAACTTGACGTCGATACCATATTTAAATTACTACTGCTATAGTGGATACTACTACCAGTACTACTACAGTAAAACTACCACTATGATTAATATTAAGGGTTTTCATGAAATAGCAATATGTATTGGATCAATTTCTTTTTGAATTTTTTGTAAATGTCTTGCGCAAAATTTGTCTTTCTTTTAGTTTTTTGTTGTTGTAATTCTTCATAGTTTGTTTTTCTTCTTTTTTTTTTCATTTCGTAACTGTAGCTTTTGAGTGTATTCCCCTTAAAATAGATTATATGCCAGAATGAAATAGATCCACTTACTAGTAACTGATATAAGGTTTACAAGCAATATTGCTGTTATATGTTACAGGGTTGTTTTCCTCAGATCAGGAAGGGAAACTTCAGGTTCAATGGAGTTGATTGTGATGACTTGAACTCATTTCTTCACACCCCCACATCTTTGGAAAGGTTAGTAAAGCATATGTGATAAAAAAAAGCCTGTAGACTTATAGAGCTATATATTAGAAAAAATATAAAGAGCCTCTAAAGGGAAGTGAGAAAGATGCATGTCAATGATGCATACAATTAATACTGTTTACCTCACCTCGACTTAATACAAAAACAAGATTTCATATCTAACAGAACTAAATATGCAGTAACAGCTTAATTGTATATGATAGAAATGCACATTTGTATGATATATAAATAGCTGCAACCAGAATGTTTATGATTTGATTTGTTCTTAGTTTTTCTGCTTGACAATGATCTCTTATACATTTAATGCCTCCGCCCACCGAATGCGGTGCCGAAGGCATACCGTATTTGCCGGCGATAAGGCCGCAGCGCCGTATAGGCCGCAGCCCCGATTTTGACATTTAAAAACAACAAAAAAATCTTTTGCCAAAGTCGGGATTCGATCTCTTGCGTACCAATGTTGATGTGACTAAAATCACCGCCTTAAACCGCTCGGCCATCCTGCACTGATACCAAACACTGCAGTTTTCTGTGATGTAGTCATTGAAATGGATTGAAAATGGCGACTTTGCGTGCTGGATGCTTCGCGGCAGCTCCCGTTAAACGGGCCCTTCTTTTACTTTTGCAATGCATTGGCATGAACTTAGATCAAAATCTATCGGCAGATGTTGTTTTTGGAAGTTTATTTTCGTCTTCATGTCAACAATGCAAGATTAAATAATCGGTAAGATGTGTGGAAATGTTTAGTTATTGTACCGTTCGTAGATCTAGTCCCATATGTACAAATTCGTGCTGGTTTTGACTTTTTTTTCTTTTTTTTTCTGTTTCGCCGTACCCCGACTTTTTGATATTTTCTCTTCTAAAAATACTGCAGCCTTTACGCCGGCAAATACGGTAATGTTTTGGTTTGTCCATCCATCCGTCACTTTCTCATTATCGCGAAATCTCAAGAACCACTTGAGGTATGAACTTCAAACTTGATGATGATATTATCATAGGAAGGCGATTTGATTATATCAAGGGTTAGTAGGTCAAAGGTTACAGAGGTCAATTTCTGAAATTCCAGCTATTAAGCATCGTTATTGCAAAATCTCTATATAACCACTAGAGATATGAGGCTCAAACATGGTTGTAGAAATGGTGACGTTGAGCTATGGTAATATTATTTACCATAGGAAGACAATCTTATCCGATTAGGGGTTATTAGGTCAAAGGTCTAAGGTCACAGAGGTCAATTTCTGAAATTATAGGTTTCAGCCTTGCTATTGCGATATCTCAAGAATGTATGTAGTATGTATCCCCATATGAAGACAGTCCCATTAGATTAAGTAGGTCAAAGGTCACATGGTGACAGAAGTCCTTTTTTTAGGTTAGTAAGTCAACATCATAGTGTTTGGTTGACATTTAATTATAGCCTTTTTCATTTTTTGTTTTCATTGTGATATGTCACAAATAATTCCATCCATTTCCTTTTTAGGGATTTGAATTTTGAAATCACTATTCTTTTTTGGTAGATATTCTAAAAGTGAAAAAAGGAGAATTTCGGGTGTTGATTGAATATTCAAATATTACCACCAGACCTTACAGTTATAGTAGACAATTATTTTCAGATACCGATATCAATAATTCATACGACTAATTTGCAAATGAAATTCAATTTATGATCAAGGTTAAACCGTGAATTTTCTCTTTAGTAAATTTTTAGCATAAGTAGTAAACAAAAATTGTTCCTTTCTAGAACTTTTCGTCAACAATGTGGGATATCACTACCATCAGACCACCCTCTACAGCAACCCATGGCTGATGTACACTCTCCAAGTGGGCCATTAACACCATCAGACCACCCTCAACAGCAACACATGGGTGCTATGGATGCTGTATACTCTCCAAGCGGGCCATTCCCACCATCAGACCACCCTCAACAGCAACCCATGGCTGATGTACACTCTCCAAGTCGGCCATTAACACCATCAGACCACCGTCAACAGCAACCCATAGCTGATGTACACTCTCCAAGTGGGCCATTATCACCATCAGACCACCCTCAACAGCAACCCATAGCTGATGTACACTCTCCAAGTGGGCCATTAACACCATCAGACCACCCTCAACAGCAACCCATGGCTGATGTACACTCTCCAAGTGGACCATTATCACCATCAGACCACCGTCAACAGCAACCCATGGCTGATGTACACTCTCCTAAAAAGACATCACCACCATCAGACCACCCTCAACAGCATGTTGGCAATACATCAGATACTGTATTTCAAGTCTCTCAGACTCACAGACAAGGTAGCAGCAGTCAGAGCAGACCTTGCAAGAGGCAAATTCCTTGTACTCAGTCAAGAGTTCCACAGGATGATCCTGGAGTTCCAGAGAAGCAACCAAAGTATGAAGTCTAGTTGCTATAGTATTGGTAGAGTAAGACAATGTCCCACTGGTAACACTACATCTTGACTTTTTGTATATATGTACATGGCTCCACACTTACTTTTGTTGGGGAAACGAGGTTTAAATCTAACTTTTTACAGTCTGTATTCATGATCCCTGTGTAGAACTTCCAAGTTCGGGGGGTCTTGCCTCTAAATAGGGGGTCAATTTTTACTCCTATGATCATGGATTATGCCTGTGTATAGAAGGTGACAAAACCGGTGACTAGTAGTTATAATGATAATAACAGTGGCTTCTGATGTAGTACACACGCCCTCATGCCATGACACACCGTCATACCATGACACTCCTGGCGCTCAAACATTATTACCCTGGTACTAGGCGGCGGCCAAATATGTAGTGATTTGGAATATCGGGTGCCCATTTATACCTGGGTGGAGAGTGGCAAATGTGGATTAATGCCTTGTCAAGGATGTTAGAGGATTAGACAGTTCATGTAGTGCATGCATGTAATAAGTATAATTATGTGGATTGTAGACTTTTACCATTTTGTTTTACCGGTAGGTGATTTGCATGCAATGTATGAAATATCACTATACTTTCACAAAGTGAGTTATGAGGTTAAGTATATAATATTTCAAATTATCTTGTCAATTTATCACTGTATATTTTAATGTCATTGCACATGTTCAATACAAATACAATTAAGTACAATCTAAATTAACTTGTAAATTTGTTATCAGAAATGACCCAGATGTTGAGAGACATGTTGCTTTTGTTATCTTGTCAACGAACTTGATACTCAATATGATAGTTGAGAACTAGCTTTGTTTGGTAAGGGTGTATGAATCAAGGCAAGAGTTATCAGTGTTACATTTTGTTAGACATGTATAATTTTTTGTAAATTTGTAACTACATCCAGTTCTAGATTTTGAAATCCAATTGAGGAAATATTTCCCAGGATTTTCTTTACATCATTCTAGTGTAAGGTATATGTAAATATGTTACTATGATTTTAAGATACATGTCTATTTTATCAATCTAACATGCCTGAGTTATTAGTGCAATATTTAATTTGAAATGGGTTATTGTTTTTACATGTTGTAATTACATTCACCAGTACTACATAATAAATCCATTTGAGGAAATATTTTCCAGGAATTTCTTTACATCACTCCAGTGTACATGTAAATATGCTACTATAGTTGTACAATACATGTTAACTCTCTTTGTATTATGTACTGGATTTCAATAATTTTGATGATACATATTCCAGGCTTTTCATCACATCATTATCATTATGATTATGCAATGGTATCATACATGTATATTCTGAACTTGTAAATGTTTGCCATACTTGTAAATAAGTTTTAATATTTTAATAAGTTTGCATTTCTGATTGGCTTATAAGCTACAGACGTAGACACTACACTTATGAGCATTCCGTTACCTTGCCTTTTGATCAGCATCCTCTTCTGATTAAGTGATGGCATTTATATAATCCACTCTGATTTTCATAATTGACAATGCAAATCGCTCAGATCTGTGAGTTTATTCTGAATTATGTCATGCAAAAGGATGTATTAAATAGGTCTTTCTATGTATATTGGATGATCATGAATTTCTGAAACAGAGTTTGCAGTGCATTATATATTTCAACATTTTGATGTACGAAGGAGACAGAAAAATGTGCTAGCTGTAGTTTAGTTATTGGTGTATTTTTTAGTATCATATTAGCTAAATTGGTCTCAACATTTTGTGATATTTGCACGACCTCACAATATAACAACGTTATTTCGCATGATAAAACGCGTGCAAAAGTGAATACGTGTAGCCTACCCATTGTTTGCATTGTCTCAACTGTTCGCATCATCTTACTTGTTAAAAAATGCTTTCTGATGAAATTTAAACTGCATGATTGTATTTCATCATAATTTAAACTACATTACTGTACTTTGTCATAATTTGCTTTCATTTCTCTGTAATTGATGTTGATAATGATAGATTATGATTAATCTTGTTCTTATTTTGATATTTCTTTAGTTCATGAATTAGTAGTTATCTGTAATTTTGTTGTTTTTCTGTTATAAAGCGCATTGATATTTTCTCTGAAGATGAAATGCGTTATAGAAGCCTAGGTTACTATTATTATTATTATCTGACGCAAAGGCAACCTGAAAGTATTCATGAGGGCATGACTCCAAAGGATCGCAAATACCCACAATTGTATATAAATACTGCATGCATTACATTATTAAGTGTAACATGTATTCCCTTCCAAATTCAGAATCCCCCTCGTGCCGTTATATTTAATCCTCAGCCTATGGCCTCGGTGAAATATAACATCACTCGTAAAATTCTGAATTTTTGGGTTCATATATTTTGTTATACATGTATTGAATGCCAAGGCATGTATGCAAAATTATATATATATATATATATTTGAGTGAATGTATTGGTAATCTATGCAAATGTGATTTATACTTAATGAAGATATAATTATATGATGAATTCCTCTTTCATTTGATTAGATATACATTGATGTTTATTTCGGGCTATAAATTCTAGCACATGTTTTCCTACATTCTCAGACAAATTGATGATGAAGGCTTCAAGTATTTTCATGAGAATGTCAAAATGGTTGATAGTAAATCTAATGCATGTAACCAATATTTTATACTTCATAATTGATGTGTGTTATTTTGATAGCATTGTTCCTTAAGTCCCTAATACAAACTGCTACTTTGCAAATGCTGCTATAATGCTACGATGAATCTGTTAGAACGTCGAAGAAAGGTATTAAATGCATCATAGCAGTCGAAATTACCATCAATCGAAGATCTGGACCAGAATAATGTCCTTTCTAATGCGAAACATATAATGCAGGACCCCTCGCATTCACTGAGTGAGAACTTTAACAGATCAGGAATACACCTGTGTGCACCATGAACTCAACATGCATGTTTCTGAAGATCCTTTGTCCCTGACTCTATCCATCTGTTTAACCCCAAAGCAACACGACTTCACCATCACGAAGTTACCTTGTAAATGTACAACAGTGTCCAGATTTGTCATCTCTTTATCTTTCTCCTATCTCTCTCTCTCTCTTTCTTTCTCCTCTCTCTCTCTCTCTCTCTCTCTCTCCCTTTCTCCTCTTTATCTCGCTCTCTATCCCCCTCACTTTCTCTCTCTCGTTTTCTTTCTCTCTCCATCTCTCTTTATCTTCTATATCTCTCTTTATCTTTTATATATATATATATATATATATATATATATATGTATATCTCTCTCTCTCTCTTCTCTCCCTTGTATCTTTGCTAGAATTCCTACTTGTGCACTTACATTGCCAATACATAGATTTCATACAAATTGTATCTAAATAATCAAGTAAGCCACAAATTTACTGGATTGTCTATAACACAATATGATGTATCCACACTTTATCGATGCCACTGAATGTAATATTTTGATAAATGATATTGCATAATTAGTAATAACATGTAGTGAGTAAGTAGGTAAGTAACTACTGTAAATAATATAATAATGAAAATCATACTGACAAGCTGATTTTGCTGATAACCTTTCTGATGGAATCGATTGTAAGTATGATGATATAACTCAAGTTCTTCGTGTGTTATGTATATATTTTGCCTCATTATGTGTAGTTTATATTGTGTTACTTGTATCAACCAGTTAATGAACAATAAATAATATACTGGTGCTTATACGTATGTCATAAGAAGTCATGATAAACAAAGAAGAATTAAATATATCTTCTGTATCTCTGGTCTCTTCGTCTGATGTGAAATCTAGAAGAGACATGGGAAGACGATGAGAGAGAGAGAGAGAAGGGAGTGGGCTAGTGAGGGAGAGAGAGAGAGAGAGGGGGGCTAGGGAGGGAGGGAGAGAGATTTGAGTTTCCAAAGAAAGTGAGCAAGAAAAACATAAAAATGAAGGAGCAGAAAAGGGAGATGCTAAGAAAAACATACGGGAATTTAAAAAGATGAGTGAGAGAAAAATCAAGAAAAGGGGAATTAATCCGAAAAAATAGCCAATGATGGGAATAGGTGATAGCTAGATGACTTTGGAGGGAGACTGGGTGAGAAGATAGAGAAATAGTGAGAAGGGGAGCACAAAGGAGATGGGGCGGGATTAGAGAGAGAGGAAGAGAGATACGAAGAATTTGGGCGATGAAGGAAGAGGGGGTGGGGGCAAAATAGAAAAACCTGCATGTACTATTGTAGCAATGAGTGATAATTGGGATGGATAGTGGGGGGGGGGGGGGGTTGAGAGAGAACGAGCAGGAGAAATGGTAAGAGGGTGATAAAAAGAGATAACATTAATGATTGTAGAGAGACTGAGAGGAAAGGGGAGTAAAGGGATTCAGTGAGAGGAGCAGAAAAAGGGGAGATATCCCGGGAAGCGTCATTTTTTTCTGCGGCACAGATTGGGGCTTTTTTTTAAAAAAGAGGTCTTGATTTAACCCTGGCCTAACTTTCCCGAAGGCTCAACACGCACCTAACCCCGATCTGTGCCGCAGAAAAAAATAACGCTCCCGGGACAAAAATATGGAGGAATGGGACGTGAACTAGAAAGAGAGAGGGGGCCACATACCGGGACAGAAACAAACGGAATGGTGGTGAATGAGAGAGAGAGAGAGAGAGATGAGTACAGACCTAAACGATAGATAGAAAGAGAGAGGGGAGGGCGGGAGAGGGGTTATAGTGAAAGATAGTGAAAGAGAAAGGAAGAGAGAAAACATTTTAAAAACACAAAGGAGCAATCAGTGGCATTATCTAATAAACGAGCGTTATAGTTTTTATTTCATTTTTAACCCTCAAACAAACTTAGGCCCGAATTAAATGTGAATTCGGGCCATTGTGTTTAACAATCGATTGTTAAAACCTTTAAAGGGATTTGGTAACTTGGTCTCGGATTCTAAAATAAAATCCTGGATTTAGCTCATGCTGCAATGATAATGTAATGGGCCCGTAAATGGGTCGTGACGACAAGTTCAGAAACAAAATGAAAACGAAAGAAGCTCGGATATACAGTTGAAGTCCACTTTATTATTTATAAAAGTCAGCCGAAGCTCCAGTAGTTACAAACGAAGATAAATTATTTTAGAACATTTCAAACTAGCTGATTCTCTCAGACGCTGGGCGGCCCTGTAGATAGTGAAACTAGCAGCACATCCTAAACATGATAACGGAATGAAATAAAACTCAAATAAACTCAACTGCAAAATCCCGCACGTGGCATTTAAATACTCTGGCACCCGACGAGGCTTAGATATCACATAATATTACCAGCCAACCAGGAGGACCCTTACGAAGACAACCGATTACAAGATAGGATATATAAATTACCCTTAGGTCATCCGACCAATGAAGAGAGGAGTTATACATTTAATTAATTATAACCAATGACAAAGCATAATGGATAAGAGTGACTAGAACCGACAAAATGGGACGAGTCTATCTCTTCGCGAGAATGTCAGGTCTATTGTCTAACGTGTTTATCGGAAATGAACACCTGTACATCTCAAAGATACTATGTTCCTTTTGCAGCCAACATCAAATTCTGTAGAACTTTGCAGGAATTATGAATATGTCGTGTATGTCCTATCTGTGAAATTTAAACGTTAGCAGTGTCCTAATATTCAAATTATGCAAGGAAACCCGTTTACTTGCTAGACTTCACTGTCAGACACTATTGAGTGACTGACTGGCTTTTTCTTCTTTGGTAATAACATACATAAAATGAGCTGTAAAGGGTACATGAGCATTTTCTACATCAATAACCCACTTCTTGTAATGGCCAAATTAAACTGATTGAATTTTTGCGCAGCATAAAACGTATAACCACTCGGTACAATGGTCTGAAAATCAGACTATTACTTACTGGCTCTATAGAAAGTCGATTCAACAACTAATAGTCGTTATTTTCCCACTTAAAGACATTTTCAAGCCCCCCCCCCCTTTTTTTTTAGGGAAGTTCTAAATTAGTATTATCTTTCAAATGCCGTTGGAAATTAACCTTTTCATTTTTTTGGCCTGCAAATGGGACATTGTGCCTTTAATGCAGGAATTCATTTCCAACGTGCTTATCGAAATGAACACTTTAATCTAATGCAGGAATTCAAGACCAGGGGTTGTTTACCCGTTCCCGGCAGCGTTACTTTTTTCGGTGGCACAGATTGGGGTTAGGTGCGTGTTGAGCCTATGGGAAAGTTTAGGGTTAGGGTTAGGGTTAAGGTTAAATCAAGACCTCTTTTTCTTTTAAAAAAGCCCCAATCTGTGCCGTTAGGGTTAAGGTTAAATCAAGACCTCTTTAAAAAAAAAAAAAGCCCCAATCTGTGCCGCAGAAAAAAATGACGCTTTCCGGCATACTATTGGAAACATAATTAATGCTATTTAACTTTTTAGATACCAAGTCAAACTAATGACCGTACAATTAATCAACCCAGCCCATCTCCTCATATGGCTCTAGCGCCCCCTTTAGGACAACGTTTTGCCCAAATCAGCGTACCACTAGGGAGTTCACAGATAGCACATGGTTAATGGCCCCAAATATCCACAGATCTTTTACACATGGAGAAGTTCCACTTTGAGCATCTTAGAAT